GGGTTATCAGCCTCTTGCAACCCGGCCTATAAATAATACATTCCTATCACCATGACCTCAAAATGTCAATACTGCCACCCCACCGCATTTGCATAACTTGCACTGTCTAAACTTGAAGCGTGTCAGCCTAGGAGCTCCAGTCTCTTGGTCTTATCTCTTACAATCTAGCAAGCCATTTCACTTGTATAAAAGAGGCATTGATGCTTCTGTGCAACTCTGTGCGCTTTTGGAATTTATGGGAGAGAAATCTCCCTAGTCCTCCAAATAGCCAGCCTTTCCCATTGCCCACTTTCTGCAGTGTGGGACTGCAGAACCCCTCAGCCTCAAACAAATATCTTTCTAGCTCTTAAAAATAGCTTTCTCTCCTCTCCCCTCTCCTCTTTGCCTTCTCCCCTCCCCTTTCATCCCCTCTCCTCTTCTCTCCTGCCTCCCTTCTCCTCTCCTCTCCTGCCCCCTCTTCCCTTCCCTTCTCCTCTCCTCTCTTCTTTTGCCTTCTCCCCTCCCCTCTCCTCTCCTCCTCTCCTCTCCTCTCTTGCCTCCTCTCCCTTCTCCTCTCCTCTTCTCCTCTCCTCTCCTGCCTCCTCTTCCCTTCTCCTCTCCTCTCTTCTTTTGCCTTCTCCCCTCCACTCCCCTCTCCTCTCCTCTCCTGCCTCCTCTCCTCTCCTCTCCTGCCTCCTCTTCCCTTCTCCTCTCCCCTCTCCTCTCCTCTTCTCCTCTCCTCTCCTGCCTCCTCTTCCCTTCTCCTCTCCTCTCTTCTTTTGCCTTCTCCCCTCCACTCCCCTCTCCTCTCCTCTCCTGTCTCCTCTCCTCTCCTGCCTCCTCTTCCCTTCTCCTCTCCCCTCTCCTCTCCCTTCTCTCCTCTCCTGCCTCCTCTTCCCTTCTCCTCTCCCCTCTCCTCTCCTGCCTCCTCTCCCTTCTCCTCTCCTCCTCTCCTCTCCTGCCTCCTCTTCCCTTCTCCTCCTCTCTTCTTTGCCTTCTCCCCTCCCTCCCCTCTCCTCTCCTCTCCTGTCTCCTCTCCTCTCCTCTCCTGCCTCCTCTTCCCTTCTCCTCTCCCCTCTCCTCTCCCTTCTCTCCTCTCCTGCCTCCTCTTCCCTTCTCCCCTCCCCTCTCCTCTCCTCTCCCTTCTCCTCTCATCTCCTCTCCTATCTCCTCTTCCCTTCTCCTCTCCTCTCTTCTTTTGCCTTCTCTCCTCTCCACTCCTCTCCTCCCTCCTCTCCACTTCTCTTCCCTCCCCTGCCTCCTCTCCTCCCCTCTTCCAATTTCTAGTCATCACTAGAAACAGTGTTTCTCAACCTTGGCAACTTTTAAGATGTGTGTACCTCAGCTCCCAGAATTCTACAGCCAAAATGGCTGGCTGAGGAATTTTGGGAGTTGAAGTCCACCCGTTTTGAAAAACAGTCAAGAAAGATGCCGGCTGGGGAATTCTGGGGGTTGAAGTCCACACATCATAATGTTGCCAAGACAGAGAAACTATTTCAGAGTTGGGGGTGCTGGTAATATTTTAGACCAGTCTTTTCCAACTGGATTGCTCACCAGAATTGCAATTCTTCCAGAATTCCTTCTTTTAAGATAAGGAAATGCGGCTATCATTTATCTAGATGATCAATGCAGGGTTTTAGCATTACAGTTCAGGCTGCTGAACCTGTGCTCTAACCTTTTGAGGTCCATCATAATTCATGAACCGAATCCATATCATCAATAGGTTCTTCAGGGTAAAACACGGGTGTGCTTTGCTAGATCCATGTATTTCTTCCTTTGCAATGATCTCGTTCAAAAGTTGGAGCAAGCTGGGCACATTCAAGGAAATTGTACCGCTTCTTTGTCGTCCTTGAATAAAACCTGCATGGAGGGTTTCTATTAATTAATTTTATTGTATTGCCAACTACCAGGGAAGATCAGCGCTACTTCATGAAACCTGAAACCAAAGGTAGAACTAAAGCAACGGGCAACCACCGTAAAAAAAAAAACACCAATGCAGAACATTTAGACCAGTGTTTCTCAACCTTGACAATTTTAAGGCATGTGGACTTCAACTCCCAGAATTCCACAGCCAGCAATGCTGGCTGTGGAATTCTGGGAGTTGAAGTCCTCATGCCTTAAAATTGTCAAGGTTGAGAAACACTGATTTAGACTGATTTGCAAGGAACCATTAGCGCTTTGAAATCGAGAGGCAAAAAGCTGCACCTAAAACAAAACCTTCATTTTTGCCTTTTCAAGGAGGAAAAAGATAGACACCGGTTCAGTTTTGGGGTGCTGATAATATTTTAGACCAGCCTTTTCCAACATGAGGCTCAGCAGAATTGCAATTCTTCCAGAATTCCTTCTCAAGCCACAAGGAAATGCAACAATCAGAATTCCTTATTAACATAAACAATCGAGAAGCCCTCCAGAAGAAAGGCAGACCACCCCCTTCCCCCCATCCATCCTGGCATAACTAAAGATCTAGCAAGCCCCACTTCCCTTCACACTGATACAGTGGTGGGATTCAAATAGGTGAACAACCGGTTCTCTCTGTGGATGCCGTTTCCAGAAGTCCGTTCTGGGCCTGGGCAACAAAAAAATTAGCTACCAGTTGTGCAAAGAGGTGCGAACCAGCTGAATCCCACCCACTGCACTGATAACACTACCTAGCCTGAAAATGAAACTTCTCCAAGAAAATGGTCAAGCTCAGAGAGAGACCAGGAAGTCAACAAAATGGGATTTGCCTTGGAAATCCTGGGAATCTAATCTCCCAGATCTTCTGGAAAAGTTCTGGCTGAGAACGGTTCTTCTAGCCAACTTGTTCCCTCGATAAGGAAATGTGGCTGACATTGAGAAGGTTTCCTCAACTTCCCATGATGCTTCAGCTCACTGACCAATCAAGTTAGACCAAGACCAAGCAGGCTGCACAACCACAAGCATTTGAAGCAAGACACCTTCAAACATCTCCACTCAATGAGCTGTTGTGACAATCACAACTGTGGCAAGAAAAGGTCGTCCAATGAGGCCAAATTCACTTAGCAACTGTCTCACTTAGTGACTGAAATGTTGGGCTCCATTGTGGCCATAAATCAAGGACTACACCGATGCAGTGTTAATAGGGGAAGAGGTTTTTCTCCTTGGTAGTTCCAAGGACCAAAACGTCTCCTCTCCAGCTGCCAACACCCAGATAAGCAGGGATTAACACCAGACAAATAAACAGAAAACAATATCCTAATTAAAAAAAAAAAAACTACCAGGGAGAAAACTACACTTCTGCCAACATTGGCAGGGCAAGCTACTGTTCACGAGCAGTGCAAACCCCACATTCACAGGCCCCGATAATGTAACCTAGTTGGGTAATGCCAGGCTTAGAGAGCACCAAGGACCCCCACAGTTCAACACACACACATACCCAGCTGCCCAGATGTTCTCCTGCTGGAGACTAAGAAAAGTCAGCAGCCAAACTTTCTTGGCTGGGGGAAAGAGAGAGACCCCCCCCTCCCCTCTCCAGCTTTTGCAAGGACAGATTAATACTCCTCTTTAAAACATCAAATCGCCAGAGAGATTAAAATGTGTGGCAAAGAAAATCGATAGCCAACAAACACCGAATAATAGGGTCCTTGGGGTGTAGGGGCTCAGATCGGAGCGAATTTAATTTCCAACCACCCCGCCCATCATCCCCCACCCCCGTTTTCCCCCAAGCCCTCCCTCCCTCCCTGCCCTTGCTTTTCCACGCTTCCCTCCTGCTGGCAGAAATGCAATAGGGATGGGGGGGGGTGTTTCTAACTGGCTTTCTTTGCACCGCAAAACCCCCTCCCCAGAAAAAAAGGAAGCCCCCAGCCTCCTCAAAGGGGCGCCCCTATGCAACTGGGGGGGGAGGGGGCAACGGAAGGGGGCTCAAGGAGAAACTGCTCTTTGGAAACCAGCGCGGTCGGGCAAACTTACCTGGGCATCCTTTTTCGTCTGGAAAGCGGTGAGCCTTTACTTCCGAGTAAACGCGGCCGGCTGCGAGGCAGAAGAGGAACGGTTCCCCCCCCCCCCAACAATCCCGGGGCCGAGGAGGCGTGCCGTTTTCCGCCTGCAGAGGGCGCTCCGGATCCAGGTTTTAATCTCCAAAGCCAGAAGTTTTAAGTCCGGGACTTAAGTGTAGCGGATTCCAAATCGGCCTTTCGCTTTCTAAGGTACTTTCGCTTTCCTCCCCCACCCCCATTTTTTCTCTTCCCCTCCCCCCCCCAAAATAAATAAATTTTAGCTTGGCTAAATGCACGTAAAATAATCGCAGGAGAGCACGGTCCACTTGCGCAGCCCCAGCCCAAAAGCGGGCCTGCGGGTCGCTGCGCTCTTCGCGCAGACCCCTTCCCAGGAATGGCGCGGGGGAGGGAGGGGAGGGAGGGGGAAACCTAAGAGGAAGAGCCAGACTTTCTCTCTTTTTTCCCCCCGCTCCGAAACCCCCCCCCGCTCCCCTCCTCCCTCCCCGAGAGACCTTGCGCCTTCCTTAGCTGTAGAGACCCCCAGCCGATCCAACGAGCCGATCCAACGAGCCCCTCGCTCCGCACCGGGCGGAGGGGAACCTGGGGGACGCGCGCGCCTGGCCTGCACAGACACCCCCCCCCCCTCTCCTCAAAATGCCTGGCTTACTAGAACCGTGTGGCCCCTGGGCCCACGCAGGAAACTTAATTTCACCCGGCCCCACGTTTGCAAAAAAAAAAAAAAAAAGTTCAGTTCAGGATCAGCTTAGCGATCCTCAAGGCGGTCGGGCCGTTTAAAGGCAGGGGATCCCCAATTCTGAAAGGCCTGCCCCAAATTACAAGAAAGCACACCCCCCTCCGTAGAGAGTTCTTCTCTCCTTTTTTCTCTCTTTCTCTCTCTCTCCCTCCCTCCCCCCCCCTCTTCTTTCTTTTCCACAAAGCCGTGACGGATATTTCTCTTAGAAAAGCAGGACAAGTCTGCTCCAAGTGAAAGGAGCTTTTTTCTCTCCCCCCCTCCCCATCAAAATAAAAAGCAAATTCCAGTTCCAGCTGGTATCAGAAAAAGCGTAGTCAAAGTGGCAACAGTTTATTAGCCAAAAATATATACTTTCTTGTACAGTTTGGTTTCGCAGTTATGTACATTTGCGCGTGTGTGCAGCGCTGACGCGCGCTTTTTACTCTATATACAAAAACAAAAACAAAAAAAACCCGAGGAAGGTCTTTTATTTCTCACCAGGTTTCACCAAATAAAAATAGTTCACGAATTCAGCTAATCCAGATGATTGGACAGAAGTGGATTCCTGCCCCCCCCCCTCTCACTCACACACACACACAAACACCCTCGTTTGTTTGTTTCATTTAATACACAGACATGCGTACAAGCTGTAACTATACAGATAATTTTATTTTACAACCATTAGAACAATAATTAAAAAAAAATTAACTATGATGATGACAACGCCGATAAAACCATAGCAGCATCGAGTTGGTTCTGTGGCCTAGAAGAAGAAAAGGGAATACAGAAAAATTCAGATTTGGGTACGTGTCGGTTAAATAGCAATATTTGCTCGAACCAATATGCAAAATGCTAATCAAGGTTTCCTGGGAGTTTTCTTTAATTTAAATTTATTGTGGAATTAGCATTTGAAGGGGAAGAGTGAGATCTCCCTTGACCCTTCAGCCATAAAAATAAAACCAGTCTTTAAGGTGTTGGAATGCTTTTAATTAATTCAGCAGTACCACATTAATAGGTCTCCTGTACTTTGACAGGGGCCCCAATGTATTCTGGACCAAATCCTTCGTTTTAAAATTATTTTAATTACCCCCAAAAAAAAAAAAAAATGCAGAATGCCACACAATTTGTAGCTGCCCTTTGGCTTCCCACTTTTTCATTCTTCTCTGTGTATACCTGCATTTCTGCTTTCTGTTTTTGAGAGATTCATGAAAAATACCTCCCAACTCGGTTTTCTGATTTTAGTGAGCTAAAAAACATGCTCAATTCTCTTGCATTGTGCATAGATTGTATATGCAGACACAGAAGTAAAATAAAAAATAAAAAAATAGGCACATATCTGGGAGCTTAGAAAAAGGACAGGAGCCAAAGTGTTCTGTTTTTAGACTTAGATTTTGGTTTTCTTATTCCTGCTAATTTATATTTATGGTTTGAGCGGTTAATTATAATCTAGTAGTCTAATGGCTTCTTTCTCTACACACATACTTTATAACGCAGTGCCAAACCTTTATCTATTAAACCACTTTTTAAATACAGCCCATTTTGAACTGCATTAGGAACGGGAGAGCTTCGTCTTGCAGTGTGTTCTAACAACAACAAAAATAAAACCCATGCCATGCACACATATTCACACAGAGAGAGACAACTGTTGGTCTGAAACACCTCTATATCTCCCGAGTCGAGGTTTTTTTTTAATAACATGGGAGACGTCAAAATTATTTGACAGTAATTATACTTAAAAGCCACAAAATACAAACTAAAGTACTAAACTCAATCATTCCCTAATCCCTAATATAATCTTGATTCCACTTTCATAAGTTTGCTTGGAAATAACTTCAGGGACATTTTCTTGAGTGAAACGGCCCATTCAATTCCAAATAAAACCGATTTCTAAGCCAGTGCTTCCTCCCCACCCCCACCCCCACCCCACCCCAATTAACTTTCCCTTTTCATACATCAACTAATCTAGGAATAGATGAACTCTTACCGCCTCTGAACTGGCTGGAAAGCGGTCTTTATTAACTTTTTCTCTACATCCAAGGCACTAGATCGATCTAAAACAAACGAAAGCAAACAAAGAAGAGAGAAATCCTTTTGTTGTTGTTGTTGTTGTTGTTGTCTGGTCGCAAAGCACCTTGGAGGTTTTTCTCTAACCGGTCCCTGAAATTTCTCTCCTTCTTCAGAGCTTAATTCAGCGCGTTGGCCAAACCAACCAAGCCAACAGCCACCACAATAACATCTGCTCCGCAGTTCCCAAGCCCTGTTCTACCATTTCACTTTCTTCCTCCTCTGATTCCTACCCCCTTCTTCCCACTCAAGGCCCACTCAGTTGCCGAGCCTTACTTCCGAGTAAGCAGTGAGGAAGGGAGCGAAGACTTGGGGAGCCCCTAGACCTCCAAAACCACCGTGTGACGTGGACGAAAACCAATACAGGCACCTCCAGGTGCAGAACACAGAAGACATAAGCAAGAAGGTTGCTGAATCCACCGGGGCGGGGGGGGGGAGAATGGTTGGGCTCTGCAAACAGTCAGCAGCAAGGGGGAAAAAATCTGCTTTTTGACTACAGCAGCCCTCCTCTGCTTCCCACCCCCGTTTGGGGGCTTCTTCGATCCCGTTTCGTCTCCCCCCCCCCGGTTCGATTTAATTGCTGCTGCAAACCCAAAGGGTTCTCCCACCCGCGGGGGAATCTTTTGCAACAAGACTAGAGAAGCTGGCGTTAAGGCAACGTCAGGAAGGGTTTCCTTTGCTCCTAGGTTTTTTTTTTGAGCTAATCCGCTTTTAGGAGAGTTTCAGCCGTCGAGATTCTTCTCGGGGTTCCTCTCCCCCCCCCATCCCAGAAGCAAAATCAGAAATACGTTTGTTCATATTCTCTCTCTCTCAAGCTCTCTCTCACACGTTCAGGGGTTGTCGCGGGCTTTCAAATTCCCGAGGATTTTCTTCCCACTTCTTCAAACCGCCTTTTGCAATTTTCCGCACTCCCTGTATTGTTTTTTAATCCATTCACACATTTATTGGGGGTACCTTTGGCTCTTTCACACCTTCCGCTCCTCCACTGCTGGGTACTGAATTACGTTCACCAATTCGCCCTTTAACTGAATTCCTGGCTGGCTGGCTGGCTTCGCACGACCCATTTGCCCGCCCTGACCCCAACTGAGGTTCCTGGCTCTTGTTCACAAATTCTCCAGTCTTGTCCCACCGGCAGAAACCTCCCCCCCCCCACCAGCCAGCCCAGACCTGGATCCGCACATCAAGCTAAGATAGGGGAAGGATAACTGTTCCGGGGGCTCAGCAAATCGTGGGAACGCAGCCACCGAAGACCCCGAGTTCAAACGCGCTTGCCCCCTCCAAAAAGCCCTCCGCGGGCCATTAAACCGGGCATTAAGTCCAACGCCCTATCTTCCAGCCCCCCCACCCCCGAACGTCTTCCGACCCCCAAATCTATTTCGATCCGGCCGAGAGGAAAAGGACCAACGGTTGACTTGCCCGCACAGACCCAAGGGGGTCTCCAGCGCCCCCCCCCCGCTCTCCCCCAACAAAGCATCTTTTCAGCTTGTTCCCCCCCTCCCATCCGGCGGCTTGTCCACCCCACCCCCACCAACCCCGTCCAGTGGTTACCTGTTCCGGAGGCTTCCGCGCTCGGCGCCTGGTCCGCCTGTCTGGAAAAAGCCGCCAGAGCCGCTGCCGCCGCCGCCGCCGCGGGCGCCGTGTTGGCGTTGCCCCCCGCCAGTCCCAAGAGGTGGGGAGTGTTCAGCAAGGTCAGCGGGTGGGAGGCGTGCGGGGGGGCGGCCGAGAAGGGCCGGCCCGACCAGCCGGCGAACTTGCCCAGCGGGCAGGCGGAGGGGACCAGTCTGTGCGCGGCGGCGGCGCCCGGGGTGGGCTGCGGGTTCGAGCCCAGAGGAAGGCACGGGGGGCCAGCCGGGGGGGACCCCCCTCCTCTTGCTCCTCCTCCGCCAGGGGGCGATTTGCGCGAGGGGTTATCCGGGCTGGTGGCCGTCTCTGCCAAGGACCAGATCTTGGGCTTGGCCGGCTGGACGGGCTGCGGAGCCGGGCTGGGGCTGCGGAGAGGCGGCGGGGAGCCCGGGGGTCCCGTCGAGGCGCGCCGCCGCGCTTCCACCGCCTTCAGGAAGCGCTGCTGAGCGCCGGCCAGCTCCTCCAAGCCGTCGGAACTCTCCGCCTCGTCCTCTTCCTCCTCCTCCTCCTCCTCCTCGTCTTCCGACGTGTCGCTGCCCCCGCGGGGCTCCAGGGGGGAAGGCAGGCGCAACGGCCCCCCCGCCGCGGGCTGGCCGCCCTCCTGGTCGGCCCGCTCGTCCTCCCCGACGTGCAGGAGCAGCTGCCCGGCTTGGGCGCCGGCTCCATCCCGGGCGGTGGCGGCCCCACCCTCGCAAGGTTCGGCGTCGCTATTCTCCAGGTCGATCTCCTCGTCGTCCGGGTCGCGCTTGTCCGCCTCGCCGTCCTCGCTGCCGTCGGCCGTGCCTTCCTCGTCCTCGCTGCGGCTGCGGGGCGCCCAGGTCATCTTGTTCTCCTTCTTGAGGCGGCGGCGGGCGTTGGCGAACCAGGTGGAGACCTGGGTGAGGGTCATCTTGGTGATGATGGCCAGCATGATCTTCTCGCCCTTGGTCGGGTAGGGGTTCTTGCGGTGCTCGCTCAGCCAGGCCTTCAGCGTGCTGGTGCTCTCGCGGGTGGCGTTCTTGGGCCGGGAGGGGTCGCCGAACTGGTACTGGCCGTAGGGGTAGAAAGCCGGGTGAGGGGGCGGGAAGGCCGGCCCTTGGACGCCGGGACTGTCCTTCAGCTCATACTGGGTGCCCTTGGAACGGCGGCGGGGAGAGAGCGGGGAGAGAAGGGTTAGAAGCAGGAATGGGGACCCCCCCACACTCCACCGCTTGCTTGAAAAGAAAAGAAAAAAAAAACCCCACTCCAAACACTGAGCGTCTATGGAGAATCTCAGTCATCCAGGTCATATGAGAGTTGTTTTGTCAACCAGGCAACTGAATTTTCTTCCATTCCCACCCCCCGCTGGTCTTTCTTGTTTTTCTTTGAAGGCGTTTCGCTTCTCCTCCGAGGGGCTTCTTCAGCTCTGACTGGATGGTGGAGCTGAAGAAGCTGCTCGGAGGAGAAGCGAAAGGGCTTCAAAGGAAAAAAAAGAAAGAAAGAAAGAAAGCCCGGTGGGGAACGGGAAAGGCTGAACATCCATTTGCGCTACTCAGGTGAGCCTGAGGACACAGCTAAACTTCCAAGGGGCCTCAACGACTCTCTCAAAGGATGCAAATGACCAGCCGTCTGCGAGGAGTATAAATCCTTCCGTTCCTCATCATCGGTCAGAGCTGAAGAAGCTGCTCCGATGACAAGTGAAATGTCTTCAAAGACAAAAACAACAACAACAACAACAGCCAAGAAAGTCCAGTTGCCTGGTGAGGAAGAAAAAAAGCACCTTTGGGACACCCCAAACACTGGTTGATGGACCCAGCAAACTCACTTATCTGAAAGTAACTGCTGTGGAATTTGGGGCTGCCTTCCCATAACACCCCCCCCCCGATTTTACTGGCTTCTTGGATTCAGCCATCCCCCTCCCCCCCAGGGCTGGCTTCGCAAGGCATCTAATCCCCTCCCTGTAAAAAAACAAAACAAAACTCAAGCCTAACTTTAGCAAATAACACAAACAGAGTCAGCAGGATCCTGTCCCGGACGGAGGCCAAGTGGGTTAATGTGAAAGACAGTTTTTACCAGGGAATCCTCGGGGATTAAGAGATTCTGCCTTAGGTATAGGTCTCCAGGTGGGGTAGGTTTGGCTGGGGGGGGGGGGGAGAGAATTTCAACAAAAAGCCTCCCAATCTTAAACCCTCAGACCTCTCCAAAGGTTTTTTTTTTTCTTCCTGAAACTCGTGAGGTCTTTTTCTCATTTTACACTCTCTTCCTGATGGAAAAAGAAACTATTTTCTAAAAAAAAGTAGGCTTGGTTTTTCTCTGCAGAAAAAGTAAGGCGGGAGGAGCCTGGACTGGAAAAAAAACGAGGGTGAAAACCCTCCGTGCACCAGGATCTGAATTTAAAAAGGAGAAAGCAGCCTTAGGAAGGTTCGAAATTATTATTTTAAAAAAAGGCTGTTTTCCGTTTCTGCAGGAATAAAAGGGGGATCACACAGTCTGAATCTGGCAGAGGTCTAGGTACGCTGCTTTCCTTCGACAACCCCCCTCCCCTCTTTTGCATATTGGAGGGGCCCGGGGATAAATTCTATTAAAGCTGCCCAACAATGCGAGGAGCTGTCAATCAAAACCACCAGATCTGCACCTTCTGTCTGCTTCCTGTAGATGTGTAACTAAGGGCGATGGCGTATAGGTGATCAGATTTTCTTTCTGCAAAGCCGTCCTAGGCCTCTACATCTCTCTTTTTTTCCCCTCTCTTCTTTCTTTGGAGCGTTTGAAAAGCATTTTGAGCAAATAAAACAAGCCGCCCTGCAACTTTTCTCCCCCACCTTGTTAGGGGGGCATCAAACTCACCCGATCTTCTCCTCTTTAAAATTATTTCTCTCGCGTTCCTAAACGGGCTCTTCCTACGATTTTACTTCTTTCTTTCTTTTTTTAATAGGCCATTTATTCGTTGATATTTGAAGGCCATAAATCCGGGAGGTTCAAAAGTTTGAGCAAACTAGTAAACGACCAAGCCTTCGCCTATTTAATAAGGGAAAAACCCGGACACCCGACCCTCCGGGGCTTTTTCCTCGCCGGCTGCTGGAGCAGAAAAGCAGCCGAACCTCTCCGGTGGGTCTTTCCCTTCTTCCTAGGACCCCCCTCCCCAATCTGCTCTCCCCCCCCCCGGCTCAGAAAAGCCGAAGAAACGCAGAAAGATTTTCTCGCCTGGGAAGGACTTTAAAAAAACAAAATGCCCCAGCAACAACTTGAAGATCGCCCGGCTGCTCTTTTTAAAAAGGCGAGAAGAGGGGGGGAAAAAAGAGAGAAAGACTGGGACTTTTTTTGCACTAAAAAAAGAGGGAGAAGGAAGGGAGGGGGAAAAAAAAGGAAATTCTCCCCAGCAGCTGGCGGCGGAGCAAAGAGGAATCGGGGCCCCGCGCAAAGCTCTCCAGCCTTCCCGGGCTTCAGTCTGGGGGTCCCTTTCCTTTGCCAGTTGCAAAGGAAAGGAGGGGAGGGGGTGAAAAGTCGGGGTTCGGGAGGGAAGAGGCGGGCGCGTTAAAGTGTCCTTACCAGCTGCGGGAAGATGGGAAGCTCGGCCGCGTAAGGCAGGAAGGCCCCGTAGCCCTGAGCAGCCGCGGCCGCCGCGTAAGGCGCGCCGTACATGGAAGATAAGACGCCGCAGAGCGAGCCGGCCGGGCTGAGCTCGGCTCCGGTGCGGGAGCTGCCGCCGCCGCCGCCGCTGCTCCCTTGGCCGTCCGTCGGGTAGAGAGGGCGGATGTACTGGTAGCCCAACTGGGAGAAGGCCATGGCGGGGAGGGGTGGGGGGCCGGGGCCGGGGGGGAGGAAGGGGGAGGAAGGGGGGAAGGAGAGAGAGGGGGGGAGGAGGAGGAGGAGGAGGAGGGGGGGAAGGAAAGGAGGCGCCGAGGAGAAGCGCGAGAGAGGCGAGAAAGTTGCGGCCGGACAGCTTCGCCGCTCGCCCCGCGGCGCGCTTTCAGAGGCGCCGCGCAGAAAGTCTGCCCGACATTGGCGAGGCTGGGAGGGAGGGAGGGAGGGAGGGAGGGGAGGGGAGGATGAAGGGGGTGGGAAGGGGAGGGGGGGGGTCGGGACCAGCAAGGTCTGGGGTGGGCTGTCTGCCGCCGCCTTCCCCTCTTTTTCTTCTCCTTCTCCTTCTTCCTCCTCTTCCTCCTCCTCTTCTCCTCCTGTTCTCCTCCTCTCTCCTTCTCTCGCTTTTTCCACCGGCGCCCGCCGCGCGAAAGGCTCCCTCTGGACGCCTTCCCTTTTGCCTCTTGATCTGGGACGGACTGCGGGTCAGGTCCGCGCAGGATTGCGGGGGACTTCGTGGAACTCCCCGCCTTTGATTGACAAGCCGGAGCCGCGGCCTCAGGCCCCGCCTCTTTCTTGCCAGCCCTACTGCCTGGCTGGCTGGCTCGGCTCGGCTAACTCGCTGGCTGGGGCGCGCTGACTCTGCCTCTCCCGCCCCCCCCGCCCCCCCCGCCGCCGCCTTTGCTTTCGTGACGTCGCCGCCTTTGATTTGAGCGCGTTTCAAAAATCGGGCCCGAGCCGCGCCAATCGGCTCGCCGGTTTGCCGAGCTTCAGCCCTGCCCCGGAATCGGGACTTCGCCTAATAACAATAACCTCACCCTACTATTATTATTATTATTATTATTATTATTATTATTATTATTATTATTATTATTATTATTATTATTAACCAACAATTATATTATATTATATTATATTATATTATATTATATTATATTTATATTATTTTATATATTATATTATTATTATATTTATATTTATATTATTTTATATTATATTATTATTATATTATATTATATTTAATATTTAATATTTATTATATTTATTATTTTATATTTATTATATTTATTATATTATATATATAACAACAGTAAATAATAATAATAATAATAATAATAATAATAATAATAATAATAATAATAATAATAATAATAATAATAATAGTCCCTTACTGGGAATCAAGCTCCGTGTGAAAGGGGAAAGAATAACAATAGAATAGAGTAGAGTAGAGTAGAGTAGAGTAGAGTAGAGTAGAGTAGAGTAGAGTAGAATAGAATAGAATAGAATAATATAATAGTGTAGAGTAGAGTAGAGTAGAGTAGAATAGAATAGAATAGAATAGGATAGAATAGAATATAGTGTAGAGTAGAGTAGAACAGAACAGAACAGAACAGAACAGAATAGAATAGAATAGAACAGAATAGAATAGAATAGAATAGAATAGAGCTGGAAGGGACTTTGGAGGTCTTCTAGTCCAGCCCCCCTCCCCCTCCCCATTCTAGCAGGAGACCCTATATACCATCTCAGACAAGTGACTGGCTAGCTGCCTCTTCTTAAAAATCTCCAGTGATGGAGCGCCCAAGAGAACGTGGATGGGGGGGGGGGCGCGAGGGAAATTGAGGAGGATGATTTATGGCTAAAGTAAACCTGGGTAATTTGTTTTGTTTTGTTTATTTGTAATAAATATCTAATTCATTCCTTGACGTTCCTCTCCCACGCCTCCCCCTCCTGATTTAGCTATTCCAGCAGATGTTGTAGTAACTCTCCTGCGATTTGAGTCGCCTCTCCGCTCCTCTGTCTTTCCGTCCCTGGCGTGCCAAAACGTCGGGGCCGTTTTTCGAACGTGGAAAGAATTGATACAATAAGCGATGGGAAAACCTTAAAAGGGGAAAAATAAATAAATACATCAATGAATGAATAAATAAAGGACGGGAGGCGAAATTCAGCGTCCCTGCCCGTTAACGGAGTTTACAATTTTAAGGTCAAAAATGAGGAAAGGCCACAAATTAATTAAAGGGGGGGGGGAGGAAAAAAAAAGAGAGAGAAAGAGAGAAATCAAAACAGCTCCGTGGGTTTCTGAAAAATACCTAGTACGAAAAAAAAAAACCCACCGGTGGGACGGCCATACCCACGCGCGCAGAATGGCTAGGGGGGGCTCTGAAAAGCTTTGGGGGTTTGGTGCTCTGTCTTTAATTAAGATCTTTATAAACCCTCTGTGTGTGTGTGTGTGTGTGTGTGTGTGTGTGTGTAAAAGGTGGCACAACAGATCCTGCCAGGATTTCAGAAGGACGAGCCTGAAAAAAATGGATCCACGTATCGGCAGAAGGGAATATTTCGAGGGGACACCTCTTCACTCCGTCTCGCAAGGAGGCGAGACATTTAAGAGTTCTTCCAAGCCAGGCCGCGTTTAATGCGAACCGGAGTCACTCCGAAGCAAGTCCCACGCGTGTCCAGTGGGGCCTTATAGTCCCGCTTCCCAGAATCTACGATCGCAGCTTTAAAAAAAAACTTGAGGAGAGTCAGCCCCGAAACTTGGGGGGAAAAAAGTGTCCCCCCCCCATTGCCCTGTGGTTCTTTTCCCTTCCCCTCGCGAAGCGGCGTCCCTGGAGACTCCTGGCCTTATTGTGGAAGTGCGTGGCTGTGTGTTTTATGAAAAGAAGCCAGCCTCTTGAATATTCACCGTCCCCCGTCCCCCCCCCCAGACACAGGGCTTTAGATTTCAGCTAGAATATAATTACAGCTACCTAAAATATAGGTCAGGAGGTTTAGCTGCCTTTCCTGGCGCTTCACACACACGCAGGGAGACGGGGGACGCCCACGCTGGGGGTGCGCGTGTAGAGAGAGAGAGACACATAGGCGCGTCTTGCTGGGTCTTTCCTCCGCTAATTTCGGTGACTTTCTATTCCAGGAAATCGGATGAATTGCCCCCCTCCCGCCGCACCCTTCAGAGTTCCCAAGTGGACATATAATTCCTCTTCTTTTCTCTTGGTTTATTTTTCTTTCTTTCCAGGCACTTGCACGTTTTAGTCCCCCCCCATCTGATTCCTTCCTTCTTTCCTTCCCACTTTCCTTCCTTCCTTCCTAAACTCCTTCCTTCCCTCCCTCTCTCCCTTCCCTCCCTCCCTCCATCCCTCTCTCACTCCCTTCCTTCTTTCCTTCCTTCCTTCCTAAACTCCTTCCTTCCCTCCCTCTCTTCCCTCTCTCCCTTCCTTCCTTCCTAAACTCCTTCCTTCTCTCCTCCCTCCTTCTCTCCCTCTCTCCCTCCCTCTCCCTTTCTTCCTCCCTCCCTCCCTTCCTTTTTTCTTCTTTCCTTCCTTCCTTCCTCCCTCCCTTCCTAAACTCCTTCTCTCCCTCCTTCTTTCCCTCCCTCCCTCCCCCTCTCTCCCTTCCTTCCTCCCTCCCTTCCTAAACTCCTTCCTTCCCTTTCTCCCTCCCTCTCTCCCTTCCTTCCTTCCCTCCTCTCTCCTTCTCTCCCTCCTTCCTACCTTCCTTCCTTCCTAAACTCCTTCCCTCGCTCCCTCCCTCTCTCCCTTCCTTCCTTCCTCCCTCCTTCTCTCCCTCTCTCCCTCCCTCTCCCTTCCTTCCTCCCTCCCTCCCTTCCTCCCTCCCTCCCTCCCTCCCTCCCTTCCTTCCTAAACTCCTCCCTTCTTCCATCTCTCCAACACTAACCCTTAATCATCAGTGCCTAGAATGCACCCTCTCCTCCTTCTTGTCTGCCTTTTACTTTATAACTTGATTTGTTAAAAAAAAAATTAAATTCATGTCAGATTAAACCGGTTGAGAAATCGACCTTGATCGCTCTCTCTCATAAAGCACTCTCATCTTGTAATAAATACGGATTATAGTTCTGATTTTTTTTTTTAAGCAACAACAGCAGCAGCAGAAAAGTCTGGAATTAAAATTCTCAGAATCAATAGGAGGAAATTGGGGAGGAACATCTCTAATCGCATTAGGGCTCCTCTCCAAAGCCTTGCCAGGTCTGCGTGAAGCTGAGGCTGTTGGCCAGACCCAATTTTCTTCTCCTAATTTATTTCCCCCCCCTCCAAAGACCATCTTGCAATATATATATATATATATATATATATATATTTAAAAGAAATTCAGCTAATCAATCGAGCTCTGGCATTCTATAGGGCAGCAGCAATTTGCAAAGAGGAGGCAACAGAGGCACTTTCCTCTCTTCCTTTTGCATTTTCTCTCTCTGTGCACAGACACCTCCGCTGGGGTGGGTGGGCAGCGCGTACACAAAAACGCACAATATGCATTGCATAAACACAATAATGGGGAGACCGATAGAGGAGGGGGGCAGGTTTGATGTAATGCTCACCTTCAGGTCAGTCGAGGTTCTTTTCATGGCTTGGACTACGATGCCCATCAACTGGGGAAGGATGAAGGGAGTGGTAGTCCAGAACATAGAATAACAGAGTTGGAAGGGACCTTGGAGGTCATCTAGTCCAACCCCCTGCTCGAGCGGGAGACCCTGCCTATACCATTTCATTTGCCTGGAGGGGAAACTGTTTTCTTGAAGGAGTTTCTGGATAGAGATAATGAGATCGTTGCAATTAAAGCCGTATCTTAACGAGGTCCAGACATAATAAGCTCCACCTCCAAATTCTCTACCCCCAAAGCTTAGCATTCTGGGAGGGGGAAAAATGGAAGGGGTCTGGAACATGATGCAGCCCCCCCCCCACCATCCTCACTATCAGCCACACTGGTCTGAATTGTGGTCTGTAATCTTTGAAGGATCTGCGATATTCAATTCCTGCCAGATTGTGGGTTATTTTTTTTTTAAGAATAATTTAAGAGGGGTTCTCATTAATGCTGCAGAGGGTGATGGACGTAGTAGTCCAATGAATCTGGAAGCAAAGTTGCACTGGATTACAACTCCCATCAGCCACTGCAGCCTCAGTGAGGACACCACTGAAATGTGTCTTTGGGAAGCAAAGAAGAAAATGCTTTTTCAGTCTCTTCATTTCAGCATTATTCTATTTAAATTGATTTATTATCCCAATTATTCTT